GAGAGATGGAGGGAGAAGGTTCCCTCTCTCCTTTAGGATCTGGCACAGGGAGGAGGTTCAGGATGGTGCTTGGCAGCATTTTCCCCAAGCTGCAGGGGAACATGTGGCTCTTTTGGATGGAGCTCCTGCCACAGGAGCTTTGATTTTAATTGGGATGCTGAGATGCTGCAAACTGTGGCAGGTTTCGTTCCTTTGTCAGGGAGCAGGTAGGGAAGAGGATGGGAAAGAGCCCTTTGCAGAGGAAGGGCTGGGGGGGTGCATGGGGAGCCTGGCTGCTGCTTTTCTTCTTCTTGCATCACCCCCTTTCCCATCCCTGCTGGAAAATGCTGCTTTCCCTGGATAGACCCCCTCCCCCCCCGCCTTTGGCATGGGGTCCTGATGGCAAAGGGGTAGGGTTTGGAGCCTGGGGCTGGGTTTGGTGTTACTGGGATGGTTTCTCCAGCTGGGAAGCCCTCGTCCTCCTCACTAGGCTGTGGCCTCCTCTGCCCTGGGCTCCTTGCCCTGCTCCTCTCAGGTGTCCCTGAATCAGCTCTTTGTCACCGCGCTGGACCTGCCAAGAGCCGGGCAGCTGGGAAGGGAGGTGGATGGAGGGGTGGACAAACGAGCCCTGTCCTTGGGCTGGAGAGGGGAGGGAACTGGGGGCACCTTGGGACTTTTTGGCAGGTGATGGGGGAGAAGTATGGGAAAAATCTGGCACGTGCCTATTTTGGGTTATTGAAAGGCAAAAAAAAAATTGTCTCTTTAAAGACACGTTGGGCTTCAAGGCACCTCCCCAGGTCGGGCTGTGCCTGCTCCCCCTGGCACCCCGTTATCCCTCGGGATGCTTTGGCCTTTGCTTTGCCCTCTGGGGGCTGCGTGGTCCCTCCCCAGGGAGGGTGGATGTTGTGGGTGTGTTTGTGGCTCTGGTTTCTGCAGATCCCTGGATTGAGGGGATGGTTTTGGCATGTGTGTCCATGCGGGATGGCTCAGGGGGTCTTGCTGGACCTCACTGGTGGCAGGAGGAGAAGAGAGCAGAGCTCTTTGTCCCTGCATTGCTCCCCAGCCATGGAGGCTCTTCCAGGACCCAGCAGTTTAAGTCCTTTCAAAAACATAATAAAAGGACGTGAAACAAGCAGATAAAAATATTCTCCATCCCGTTCAATGTGGGCACTTGCTGTCAGTTGGTTTCCTGCACTGTTTTCCTTCTCTCGGGGCTGCTTTTGAAGTCTCCTTTGGCTGCAGAGCTGTTGATGCTCTGCAGCGAGCTGGGGTCACTGGTCACCTCCTCCGTGCCTGGGAGAAGGGCGGATCCGTATGGAAGTGGCCTCTGGAAAGCCCGGGCAGCCAAGCGCTGGGGCGGTGGGTGGGTTCCCCTCCCCTCCGGCTTTCCTCCTCTGGGGCGGAGCTGAGCAGCTTTTGGAGCATCCTGGAGAGGGCATCCCTGGCTCTGCTCACCCAGCACAGCATCCCAGGGGATTCAGAGCTTTGCCCTCTGGCTGTATCCCTGGCTGCCGGGCTGGGAGGGATGCGGGGAAGCCGGTGTGTCCCCACGTGTGTGTGCCCAGCTGCACGGGCACTGTCACAGCTCTCTCTGTGCTACCGGCTTCAGCACCAAAGAGATCAAGCAGGATGTTGACTTTTTACTAGGAAGCTGCTCTGCTCCCAGGGCGTAGCTGCTGTGCCCCTGGAGCTGGCACAGAATGGAGTGATGCTGGAGGAGATGGGGGGCAGGGGCCAGCAGATGCACCTTGAGGTGTGTGCTGGGGGGAGATGGGGGAGTTTTGGAATGCTGAGGAGAGCAGCATATCCCAGGCTTGTGCTTCCAGGAGTGGGGAAAAATTGCCTCCAGCTCTGGTTTGGACCAGGGGGCTTGGCATCAGTGGGATGCTCCATGTTCTGGTTGGTTTTCTCCTTGCCTTTCCCCATCTCCTGTGCCCGGGGATGCTGCTGCTTCCCAGCCTGTTGTTTTCCCAGGAGGTCAGGATTCCCGGAGGTTGGGATCTGGGTTAAGATGCAGCTCTGGGCACACAGAGATGGTTCTGGCAACTTGTTGTCACCCTGTCCAGGGGCGTTTCAGGGCTGGAGGGTGGTGAGGCTGCTCCCTGCTGTGCTGGAGGCAGCTCTGGCATCTCCCACCCGGTGCAGATTTTGCTGCTGGAATGGGAAGAGGCAGGAGAGCAGATGGTCACCCCCAGGGGGGATTTCTTGGAGTGCAGAGCTAAAATCCATCCATCTCTGTTTCCATCTCTCTGGTCACGGTTTGCCAGCCATGGTAGCTGGTAGGGAACCATCAGGTCCTGGTGCTGAGGCTTCCTCCCTGGCACGGGATGTCTCTGCTGCCCCTGCCAGCCCTGTCCCTTTGGCTTTTTTTTAAGCATGAGATTTTGGGGAGTTTGAGCTCAGACACGATTTTATGTTTGAATATCATAATTTTCCCAGTCCTGGCCAGTTCACCTGGAGCTGGGAGCTCTGCAGGCAGCCAGGCTTGGGCGAGGAGGTGCAGGCAGGGGATGGGCATGGAGGGGACTGAAGGGGATGGGGACCCCCCCTGAGGGCTGTGACTCCTGATGATGGATTGATCGCTCCATGTCTGCTCTGGAGCATTAGCCTGGTGGGAAAAGGGTTGGAAATAGTACAGGGACCGTGTCCTGAATCCCACGTGCTTGGGAGCTCTGGGCTGGGCTGTGTCATTTCTCCTCTCACTGGCTGAACCCAGGTGCTTGGTGCCCTTCAGGGTCTGTGGGGGGGGGGGGGAAAGAGGGAAGAAGGTTCCTGGGGGTCTGCAGCTGTTCCAGAGGCTGATCCCAAAAGAAGAGCTCTTTCCCCTGAGGGCTCAGCACCACTCAGCAGGACACAGCCTGGGTTGGACTCTGACCATGTGGGATGGGAGGATGCTGGGTGGTCCTGGGTGGCCCAGCGCTGTGCCCACTGCTGAGGGCAGGTTCTTTGTCCCCAGGGGTTTCCATCCTTGTGTGGGATGGGGAGCAGAGCGGCTGCTGGAGCTGGGCAGACCATGCCAAGGCATTTTGGGAATCCCAGCCCAGGTCCTTTCGCAGATGCTCCTGTGCCAAGGCAGCCCGTCTGGCTGGGCTGTGGCTGGGGTTATCCCTGGGGTGTGGGTCTGGGAATGGGGTTATCCCTGGGGTGTGGGTCTGGGAATGGGGTTATCCCTGGGGTGTGGGTCTGGGAATGGGGTTATCCCTGGGGTGTGGGTCTGGGAATGGGGTTATCCCTGGGGTGTGGGTCTGGGTATGGGGTTATCCCTGGGATGTGGGTCTGGAAATGGGGTTATCCCTGGGGTATGGGTCTGGGAATGGGGTTATCCCTGGGGCGTGGGTCTGGGAATGGGGTTATCCCTGGGATGTGTGTCTGGATATGGGGTTATCCCTGGGGTGTGGGTCTGGGAATGGGGTTATCCCTGGGGCGTGGGTCTGGGAATGGGGTTATCCCTGGGGTGTGGGTCTGGGAATGTGGTGGGTGAACATGGATCAAGCTTGCAGCCAGCGACTGCACAGGGGGAGACTCGTTAGAGCAATTAGGAGATGCAGGAGGAAGTGTAAGTGAGGAGCATCTCTAACCACGTGGGAAGGTCTGGAAAGGGTCCAGTAAAGCTGCCGGAGAACTCCCGGCTCCGAAATGCACCCGAAGAAAGGGGCTGTGTTCAGGGCGCGGGAGCTGCGGGTGCCGCCGGCCGGGGGGGCAGGGGCTGCTGTCTGAAAGGCCCCTCTGTGCTTCCCAGCGGGGGGAGGCAGCACGGGGGGTCCCTGTGGGGAGACCCACCAGTCCCCGGGGGCCTGGCCCTGCTCCCTGTGCTGTGGGGCCCGTCCCGCCTGTCTGGGGGCTCCAGTGACTCCAGCTGCTGGTCCTGTGCATCTCCTGCCCCTCCTTGCCTGGCTCTGGAAGTGTGGGTGTCACTCCCTTGCCCGTGGGGGGAAGAGCTCCCAATGCATCCCAGTGGGTCCTGTGCTGGTCCTGCAGACCTGCCCCCATCATCTCCCTGCCCTTCCGTGTCTCCCTGGTCCTTGGGAACAGGGAAGAGGTGGGTGAGCAGCGCTGGGGGAGCAGCTGGGCAGGGCACAGCTCAGGGTGGGCCCGAGGGTGCTGGGAGGATGCACGGGAGGAAACAAACCCCTTTCCTCTCCTGGTGCCCCCACCTCACTCCGGTCTGACAGGTTCTGACCAAAGGGGCTCCACTTTTTGGAGGCGCACAAACCTGGCTGCTGGTGCCTGGTTGGGCTCTCCCTCCCTTTAGGGGGATGTTTCTTTCTCGTTTCCCCCCAGGCTGATCAGTGTTTGGGTGTTGGGCTGAGGCTCCGCTTGACTTTCCTGCCTGATATTTGACTTGCAGGTGGATAAACATTGGCACAGAACCTGGGAGCCTTTTTCCAGGGCTTTGCTGGAGCTTTTGCTCCTCCCGGGATGCAGGTGTCTCTCGGAGCAAGCACTTGCCTCCTTGCTGAGAAGAGGGAGGGTTTTTCTGGAGTTGCTTTTGAGCTTCAGTGTTCCCCGGCCCCCCTGAGAGCAGGGGTGGGAACTTGTTTAGATGCAAACCAATGTGGGGGCAACAAGCCCTGTCCTGCTCCATCACGGTGGCTCGAGCAGGTCCCTGATGGATGGAGGTGGGAGGGAGAGTGAGCAGGAGGCTCATGGCCCTGGGGCCTTCAGGGATGCAGCCTGTGCAGCCTTGCTGGGGAACATGTGGCTTTTTTCCCCCCCCTTTGCTCCCATTTATATCAAATCATCTCTCTCCAGTTTACCCAGTGCCTTGTGGTGGGGGCCCAGCCCTGGCTGTGGTACCTGGAGGTGAGCAGGTAGGGGGGTGTGAGTGTGCAGCCATCCCTCGGGCTGCAGCCGGGATGTGGCAGCTCAGCTTTGCTCACCAGCACCTTGGTGGGTGGCAGAGGCTGCTCCAGGGGGTCAGTCTGTCCCGGGGACAGGAGCTGCAGCCTGGCACCCCTGGCCTGCACTGCAAATGGATGCTGAGCTGGCAGATCCCATGGGAGGCAGGGGCACCCGGGGCGATGCCCGGGGCGGGTGCCGAGGGGTCGGTCCTCACGTCCAGGTCCCCCAGCAGCACTGAACTCATCCTCGTGGCTGGGATTCCCACAGATCGCTGTGGGAAGGGAATAACGTGCCGGGGCAGTGGCATCTGCAGCCTTGGCAGGGCAGGGATCAGCTGGTGTTCCCAGCGCTGCCCTGGCAGGAGCAGCCCCGGGAGGGATGGGGGTCCTGGGGGCAAGGGAGATGAAAGTGCTGGGTCTGGTCCTGGTCCCGCTCCTGCCCGGGACGTTCCCCATCTCCCTCCGTGGGGCTGCCGGAGGGATGATGTG